TTGCAAATTGGGTTGTGTACAACTTTTGTCAGGGAGCCGTATAAACAATGAAGACATGGGATTCAACTGGTGGCGAATACGAGCAGATCAGAGGGGTAGGTGTGGGCCCAGGGTGTGTTGGGTGAGGGACTTAGTTAAGAAAAGGTTTGAAGTACAAAAGGATAAGCTGTTTCACTGCAAGTTAATTATTTGGGGGTGTTATCGTCACAACCCGAGATCACGGTCCGAGACAAGGTGGAGAGAAGTCTTTCGTGGTACTTGACAAAGTTGTCAGGGGCGTTGGAGGATGTCTTGAGGGCGATTTGTTTTAGCGAATCGAGGCTAAAATATCGAAGAGCAGAATGGATTTAGGCGGACGAAACGGGATTATCATACATGACGAACAAACAGGGAAGTGCACCCACGCTGAACATAGGTTTAGGTTATTTGACGGAGCACAGGCTTACGGTCTGATCGAAACAAAATTACCGTTTCGACCATGGACGTGTGAAATGTTCTTTTCACTGTTTATTTCGATTGATACGCACAAAGAAAAAGGCTCTGTGGCGATAGTTGTCAGGACCAGAGCAGCAAGAAAGACGTTGGAGGGGCAAGTCAAACGATGTCAGTTTCCATGCAAATTGAACTACCTGATATTTTCGAGTTGATCTTCAAGTAATACATTCGGGGGTATTTCGTCGTTGAATACATCCAATACAGAGGTCAACTCAGTAGTAGTCTGCAGTACGGCGTCAACCTGTTTGGGTGCGATAATCCCAACGATCCTAAAGGACGTAAGTAATTACGATGAGACCGTGCCACACCTGTTGTAGAAACATGAAATGTGGTAAAAGTGGGGTAATTTTTAATGCCAGTACGATCGCAGAACAGACTAGGTTTCAGAACTACTGGAAAACCTGTATCGACGGGACCAAATGGATCACGCTCAGGGCTAAAAGCTAAAACAACAGGCATCCAACGGTATCTCCTACCGTGCTGACCTGGAATTGGATGGTTTTTTGCCGACAGGGACGGAAGAATGGCAAAAGGTCATCGGATGTGGAACCGTTTACGATTAGTTTGAAAAACTGACCTTAACTTCACACTACAAAACCAACATAACCTTTCAGCCAACCCATAGGCCCTAATGGCTGCATATGGAAGGCGTGTGCAACTCACTTGAAGGGTTTAGAGCCCGGGGGCGGGTCGAATGATATCATTTTGGCGCATTTGTAAAAACTCGGGCAGAGCCGCCAGGGCTTTCCTGAGTCGGTTTTCGGGGTGGTTGATGAATCGGTACCGCCTACTCTTTCTACATCGAAACAGGGTAGTTCAAGAGTCGTTGAGGTACCCACGAACCAAAGGGCTCGAAGACTGCATGCTAGGAATGCGCAGGGCTGCAAGCAGTAATCAAGAAACTGCCAGGAAGAAACAAAAGAACGAATTACAGGGGACATTCAGAAAGGAATTAATCAACGTTGCACGACCCCATGACAACCTTATTGATTTTAATAACACGTAATTGGTGGGTAATGTGGCAATGGGGAGGCTTTGGCAGTATCTGGCATTGTAATAAAACCTGAATCAGCACATTTTAGTGGCGTACAGGTATGTCTGACCTCCCTCTATTCTCACACAGCTTCAGACGCCACCGTCAGTTTTAAACAATGTGAGGCTACGAGCTACTTCGACTAACGCAGATACGCGCATTCCCACAAATCATCAATACTCACATCAACAGCATCCTCCAAAGTTCTTCCAATAAGGAAGTCTAAAACGGATGATTGTTTTTGAAGGCAACGAAGGGCGTACTCCGCAACCTGATTCGTCGTGTCCAGTTCCGTTGGGTCTAACACAAAACGAACGAGATTTAGCATTATGACAGTGGCACACGAACACACATAGGCGGTGTATATTGGCACAAACTTCCCACGTGACTGTAAGTACCACCAGGGTGAAATATTTGCCGTGTCATTTCCGCATTACCATTTGTTTTACTGTGCTGATTTCGTTGGAGCACCATTCGAACTAGACAACATCGGTGTGTCGCTATTTTTTTGTATACGCTAGCTGTTTAACATTTATTGTGCTCACTGTTGATTGTTGTAATATATGCATTTCACAATAAGAGGCATACGTCATTAAACGTTCCGAGTTGTCATTTGTTATTCCGGCGTGTTTTCCCGACAGTTCTGAAATCGTCATTGTTTGCATGGGGTTTACCTGTGTTCCTGAGGCAATGTGAGGCATCGAGGGATAGAAGGACCTCGACTTTCTTATTAAACGTAACAGCTCTAATGGCAATTTTTCTACGTCTCCAAAACGACTTTGGAAGAGACACGAGGGAAGATAACATGAGTTTATCGACAAATAAAGCACCTTCTATTGCACGAGACAGCGACACACAACCTACCCTCGGCAAAATCGAGTTTGTAGCTCAAAATGTTTTGCTGTGAGGCCTTCGAGCGTCTCGACAGCTGCGACTCCCTACAAACAACATCCATCCTCAGGGTGTCAAAGAAGTGGTGAATTCGGTAGCTGTTGGAGGACGCCGACAGACAGCTGACTCGGGAGGTCGAAAAGCTAAAAAGAGAAAAGCAATGGAGAAGTAGTCTCGTGGCAGTAGAAACCGGTTATTATCTTAATGGCATGGACCAGTACTACGGGTACGGATGATTCGCGAATGTGTACACCAAGCGGCAAGACTGAAAGGTCCTGACTTCGACGGCCATGGCAACGATGCCACGAGATTTAAATTGCATGTTTCCCTAAATTTTAACGTTTGGGAGTGTACTGTAATGGGTAAAATTGATGTTTGAGGTCGACGTCAAGGGTGAAACAGCGGTTGGTTCCTGCGGTACTGAGGCATGTGATGCAACTAAGCAAACGCCTAAATGGCTATCGGGACCTACAGCCGACGACAGGCGTCCAACTGACGCGGTTTGGGCACACGAGGGCCCAAGCAGACCAACGAGGCACCAGGACCAACGAAATAGGAGGTGGGAAGGAGCTGGCGAAGCGGAGTGGCGGGTGCCCCCTCCTGCATTCTAGAGAGCTCTTCGGCCTCCCGCTCACGCCTCAGTTGCGACACCTCCTTGGCGATGGCCAGCGTCTTGATTTCAGCCTCGTCAATCCTCTCCTTTGCTTTGCGGATTGCTTAATGTGAAAAAAAGCAACTACTACTGCAGCATTTGCCATATCATTCTGTTCTGCCCCCGTTGTTTTACTGTTTGGATTCACTCGCTTAGCGGGGTTACGAATTTGTGTACACCATTTCAGTATGCTCCGCCTTTAAACTCATTCTTTGCATATCCGCATTAGCAATTGATGGTTGCCTTTGAGGCAACACATACACGTTTTAAAGCATTCCGATCTGTCCTGTTGTTTGCACGTAAAAGATATCTCGGCGTGTCTATCCTGTCATGGAAATTGGGGTTTGAAAAAAAACAACTATCGTTTAGATCTACATTAAAAGCAATCAAGGCACGATCACTAATGACACGCTTCAGTTAACGACGACAGCGCAGTTCAATCACTGTAGACCCAGCGTACACTGCACGCAGGTACATAAACTGATGCTCAACTAATGCTCTTGAAAGAGGGAATTCATAAACCAAATGAAACGCCAACAAAAACTAGGGACGATACTCGCTGCCACCGAGAAACTCCAAGGTTACAGCTCGCACGGACAAGCAGTCGGTGGCCGTCGCAACCAAGGTTAGAAGGTACGTGCCAGGTCTTGTACGCGGACAAGCCAAAAAACAGCTGGGGAGGCATCGTGTGAGCAGCAGTGGAATTTATAGGTGTGCATTAAGGACACAGTCGCTCCACCCGAACACAGACAGTGCAGTTGTGGTGTCGTTTGAGTGGAAGCCACACTTACCGATAAATCCCGCCTCATCAGTCTGCAATATGTCCCTCCATCCATCAAGTTCTAGACGAAAAAAAAAGTGGGGAGAATAGAACTTAGCCGGCGCCACACGCTAAAACGTGCCAAATGAGTGCAGCAAGTACCTTGCACGTTTCCTGGTTAATTGACACCTCCACGCAAGATCGTCTTTGACAAATGGTTTAACGCAATGGCTCAACTGACACTTGTACTATTAATTGGTTTTCATACATTAAAAAGCCGTTTTGACACATGAGCGGTTTCGAGCATTTTTGCAGTCAGAGGATTTGGTGTGCACTAAGAAGGGACCACTTATTATTAAAACAGGGCGGACAAGAAGTCCCAGGCGGCAAGACACGCCGTCTGTGGATGCCCAGCCGAAACAGCAGCCTCCACCAGGCACTCACGGGATTGCAGGAAGTCCAATTCGGCCAGCTTCGTTTGACGCTGCTTCTCAAGGTCGGCAAGCTTCTCCTCAAACCACCTGGCCAGGTTCTGGTGCAAGTAAAAACAAGCAAACAAACAAGTTATGCAGCATTAGTCTGCTAAATTGCATCGGCGTAAACAATTCAATCGGTTTTACCAAACATGCCTAGTAAAGGGACAACGAATGATGCGAACTATGTGCGATCAGAGCCTGGCTCTGAAGTTTAACTATGGCAACCAACACGGACTACTGCAAATGAAAAAAAAACAACCTCGACATCCGTTTGGACGCTGGAAATGGTCTCTGCCACGGCCGCCTCACAAAGCTTATTGTAGTAGAGATCCCTCAAGGCGTTCACCCGTTTAATTTTCTGGAAAAAGATGTAAGGGCGCCAGGTGCTAGTCACAGTAGAATAGAATTAGTCGATTAAGCATTTACCCAGAATAGTGCGCATAGGAAAGTATTGAAATTGACCTTGACGAAAACCGAAATCTCGTGAGGGCGATTTCAAGCTCAACTGAAAGCAACTGGCAGACTTTCAGAGAAAAGACGAACGCAACCGACAGCTCTATGATACTAACCAGTCTGTTAACTAAAGGTAACCATCAACAGATGTTTATCAAGGAGATAAATCTACCTAATAGTAAACGAGGCACAAACACTCCCTTCCATTAAATGGGTTCAAATAAAATGACTATGTAGGTTAGACTCAAAGCTGCTTATTTTCGCGTACCTCCTCAGTGGTCATGGCGTTGAACTCCTCCAAGAACGACCACCACTTGTCAGTGAACGGCATCTTCTAAAAGAGGTATGAAAGAGTGGGTACATGATGGGTCAATAAGCGACGCGAGGGCCTAATTTTGACTGTCTCACAACAGGTGCGCGGACGCCGTGTGGCGCAGCACCAGCGATGGGGGTGGCGGCTGATCACCAGATGCCTGTCCAAACAGGTTAATTGCAAGATGACTGCCACTCGTGCGGTTACCCCCTCCCTGCCCTGCAATGGCCCCAGCACCCCCTCCCCGACCGCATGTTCGGTATAAAACCGCCCTCCCCACACTGACACGTCATTCCTAGCAGGAAAATGGTTGGCGGTGTACACCAGGTCTCGGCGCCTTTTCACACCCTCGTCTTAATTCCGAGGTTCTGTGAGTGGCAATGGGAAATACAGGGGGTAGTGACGATGCTCGCTCACCGCTACCGACCCACCACCACCAGTGGACAAGGCTGTGTGACGAAGGAAAAAAACCCAAACGCCACGTGGCCATTTCGCACGCACGCACTCCCCAGGTTGGGGTGCGCTGTGGGCCGCATGGACTAGCTAACAAGACCAACTACGCGTTGAACACTGAATTAGTTAAGGAACGAAGGCCCTCGACACGCGGGAAAGGTATTTCCTAAAATAAGACCGCAAGGCAGATTTGTAAACGGTGTTCAACTGCACTACTCTGCGACTACCGTGAGCTAAGCGCCATTGAAATTTTAGAATCTACATTAAATGGTGACTCGTAGAACCACAGCTTCAAAACCAGCAAGGCTGTCGTACACATTGCCACTCCAAGTAGCCATCTTTCTTGGAAACCCTCCAAAGACCCGTCAAACAGGGACACAATCTGCCCCCACCAACAGCAAACTCGCCACTCCAGTCACATCGGGACATTCGGTCATATTTTTTAAAAACACCCCAAAGCCGCCGTGTTTTCCCACGGGTAAGTCTAAGTGATTACCAATCAACTTCCCTGTCACAATGAATTGAAACACAGCGCACAGTTGATGATTAGCATTATCAAAACACGCTCTTGCCCCAAAAATAAAGTCCTAATTTGAAAAAAAAGGATCAAACCAGTACCTTAATGACGTCCCAACTGCAAAGCTGGTTAACGGGCTTGCGCATCCTGAAATTGTTCTCCACTGTCAAGCTGAAAAGGAACGTGCATCACAGGAGGAGTGTTTGGGGACTGGAATAAGGGCACCAACACGACGACCACTCACCCGTTAGCCATGAGTTTGAAGTGAGCAAGGAGAGAATCTCCAAAGCTCTGGAGGTGTCTGAGTGTGCTTGAATCAAGCTTAAAGGGAAGAATACAAAAACTAATTGGTCAATCGTTGATAGACTGGTTTGGAAAATATGCGTAGTAGGCGGTCGAAAGCGGACTTACCTTCTCCGATTCCCAGCTTGTAATTGGCAAGATTTTCTCCAACACTGCGTCAATGAGGGATGCGTCAAGGGGAGAGAACGCGTCAATTTCGAGCACACCTGTGATGAAGTCTTCCATGGACATGATTTCTCGAACTGGCTGCGGAACCAGAAAAGCAAGGACAGATAGTTAGGAAAGTCAATCGGAATACGTGAGAAAAAGAAGTGAGTTTGCGATATCGCCGAGTTACAATATCCGAGGGCGAATTTACTGAAGGGACAGATCCAGAAAGGCCAGCCCGAGAGGGAGTCAAATTCTGAAAACCGGTGAATAATGGAAGCACATGGATTATTGTACTGTCACAATGGGGTGAGTTGTTGTGTTAAAGACGTTAGGTCTGGTCAGACGTCCAAAGCCAGTACAACAGGCTACGGTGGGAAAAAACAGCGACTGCGTTCCTGAGAGGCGCTAATCGGTGTGATGATAAATGTCTTTTCAAAAAGCACAAAAAATATGCAAGGTATTAATACGTAAAAGGCGCTGTCGTGAAGGACTCCCGTCAAGAACCTATTTCGAATCAGAGAAAAAAATGTGTTTAAAGGCAGGTGCATCAGAGAACTAAAGTCTTACCACTGGTTCTGTCGATTTTAATCGTGGAAATACACGGTCCGAAGAGGAGCGAAGAAACTCAAAATGCGACAGCTGCCCTTCACAGAAGCCATCCCGTCTAGCAACACGTACACCTCGAAAGGCGTTTGCGGAAAGCGAAAACTCCCCCGCGGAGGAAAAACGCTTGAGAGGTGTCTTGACGGCGGAGGCTGTCATCGAAATGCCAGCGGGAGGGAACATGGCCAGCTTGAGAGGAGTTTGCTGTCTGGCAGAAGCCGGCAAATCGAACGATACCGTGGTGGGTCTAATTTTATTAAACCGTTCCAAGGGGTTATGGAACGACGCGTCCTCACCCTCCTCTTGCTCCCAATCAACAGAGGTGGGAGTGGAGGTGTGAGAATGCGTCTGATTCAATAAGCCCCCTGGCCGAGAGCCGATTACATCGTCTGTGTGCCTCTCCTGGTCTGATATAAGTTCATCCACCTCTGCAGAGTTTGTGTTGCTTGAAAATATGAGCCTTCCAGTATCTTCATTGGATTTAGAATCAGAAGCAACATCAGAATTAGGGTAGGCAGTATACACGCTGGTCCGCTGAACAATCGAGAAGTTAGCAGATGTGTCCCCAGAAGTGGCGCTCAACGTTTCAACAGATTTCTCGTGCCGTGCAGAGGTTGTCTCAGGACGACAAACAGGATTGTAGTGGGACACTAAGCCTTTATATTTCTCGGAAATATAACTTATATGCGAACTGGGATCATCGATTGACGCTTCATTATTGCGTTCATTGTGTCTAGATCTTTCAGCCTTGATGCTCTGATCTTTTCGGAAGTTACATGAGGTATCAGTAATCATGTAATCACATTGAATGACTGAATCTGGCAGCTGTTGCTTCAAGTCAAAATCTGACGTCCCAACGGCGGCCGTAGACCTTTCGGATGGCGATACTTCGGCAGCAACATGCTTTTCTTGGGATCGATAGTTGGCGGGAGAGACGGCTTTGTCGTAACTACTGACTTGACAAACCGAGGTCGCGGCACTCACTGGAAGCGACATTTCAGCACAAGTTTTCTGGTTTTCTAACAATAAATGGTCAGAAGACACCGACATTTCGTGGTGGCTGGCTGTTAGCTTTTCTACCCCAGTATTTGTTGCGCCTTGATGGACTCCAGCCCTTGCATTAGCTTTCCACAGTAAAGTTGACACGTCACCTTGATTGGCATCACTGGAAAAATTAGCCGTTGTGCTTGAAGACGTCAACAAGTTTTTACCTTGGATGAGTTCTTGATCAGCGTTTGGAACTACTTCTGAGATAGTAGGCATAGGAGATGTCTTGTGCACAAGCCCATCAGAAGATGACTGGGTGTCTGGACAGTGCTTTTTCGTGGCTGGTTCGTTGAAGTTACACAGTTTACCACAACTAGGCGTTTTCTGGCTTTCTTTAGCACAAATGTCCAAGCTCAAGGCCCCTCGTTCAAAACTAGCCGAATTGCTATGCCCATCAAGGTCACTTATTTCCATGGTAACGTCAGCGCTTTCGTGCTCTGAGAACTCGTGACTTGGCACAACAACGCTGGGGACCTCGTCAGTACTCAGTTCTACGGTCTCGTCACAGTCCATGTCAACTGTGGCGATGCTGGTGTCCATGGTCGTGAGGTGGGTGGGTCTTAATGTGGTTGTTTGCTTTTCACCTTCATTGCAAGAAACTTCCATGTCAACATCCATTTCACTGGCATTTGGAGAAAAGCCGTTGGGGTCTAAATTAGGACTGAGATCTTTAAGTGGACACCTACAGAAAAAAAACAGGGGAATGCATTTAATTATAAGGGAGGAATTGCGACGCCCGCGCCAAGCAAATAACGTATTTCTCTAAATCTAAGCTCATTTTTATACTGCGTGCTTACAGTTCCCAGTTTTAACGAGAAACAGACAAAGACCATGAACAAAAAGCAGAGAATTTTAGGCTGTAAAGTGGAGTGTGGTACACACTTGAAAGTAAACTTACTGTCTGGTCACTAAGGCGCCAGGAAGAGAACAGTGCGAGAACTGACTCATACCAGAAGCCCTGCAGCTCGAAGACCCCGAGGACGAAGACTGTATGGCACTAAACAGAAAAAGGGGGAAGTAGTTTCAAAGTACCTCTCAAAGAGACTACGTACATTTAAGCGGAGAGTTTGGTTATATGGCACCACTCACTTAAGTTGCAAACTAAGCTTGCATGCAAATATGGAAAACCAAGTGGAACATACTGTAAAATGCATAAAGTTACCTGTAACATTCGTTTGTGAGGGATGCGAATTCCCTAAAAGGGGTTGATGGTTAAAATAAAACGAATGAACAGGTACTGGATTTCAATCCTCTTTGAGAAGGATACTCGTTTTTGAGCGGGAGCATTTTCCTTCTATAAATTTCCAATCAAGAAAGTTGACTAGACCTACCGCAGGATCTTCAGACTCAGGAAAGCAAAATGGCTTTAGAACCTAGAGGAAAAATGATTACAACAGTACTCGGAAGCTACCGATTTTCTAGCCTTTCCTGAAAAATAGGAAAAAAAGCGGTTACAAAGATCATATAAATTATAGTAATGTGACAGTAAGCATCAAAACAAGGATGAAAGGACCAAATACAATTCATTCGCCAAGTAAAAGATCGAGTGCGTTTTCAACTACTGCCTTCCAATCAGTTACAGGTGGGTACTACAAGAGAAACCTCATGGTCGAATGATATCAACTATCTTTTTCCGTACAGCACACAATCAAACCCCGTTTCACCACATTCTGAATGTGGTTCCCGTTGATACAACTTCAGGTTACTTGAAAACCATAAATAAGTAATCCTTATGGATAAACGTCGAAAACCATTGGGGCGGTATTAGATCCATTGCATTAACTTATTTCGAAAATGGCCACCAAGAATCATAACAAAACACCAGCATATATTACTTTAAATTAGCGCATCAACTCCCTAAGAATACCTTATGGCAACAGATAAACAACCACAGTCTTGAAATACGTTTTAAGTTTTCCCACAAAAATCAAGTCGAAAGCAAGTAAAACAAACTACTACTTGTGCTCCGTTCAGGGAATACCCAATAGGCGGCAGACAAATAAATATGATCTCAATGCCCTTAAACAATATACAGTTCCCAGCATGCCCAATAACTCATTTAGCGGTCGATATGTCAGACATTATATCTCGAGGGACGCGTGATTATGGAACACACCATTTCATTGAAAAGGGGGAAATATACAACTAGATTGATTTTAGCAACTTGGACAAAAACATATTGTATCTTGTGCTTCAGACACAGTACAGGTTTTTAACGAGATAGAAGTTCGCGAGCGGCAAGTACAACAGCTTATACTTGTGCAAATGCTTAATTGACGACTTTGAAGGATATCATTAAACCATCTTTCAATGGGACATTGGGGATTCATTTTACAACTACGAACAATCTTTTATCGTGTGTAATTCATTCGAAAGCTCTAAAACACATGCGAACCCCTTAAGACCCTCTAACGTTAGTGAGCAACATGTATTTTCCACCATGTTAATCTAATAACTGCCCAAACAGAAAAAACCTTGATGTGTGGTCTCTTCAATCGAAACCCTAAAAACCCAAATTGGATGCGGTCATAAATTACGTATACATCCTACTTTACAACCCCTTGCAAGCCAAGCAGCTAGGTAATCGACGCTGCAGGTGATATATTCTGCAATTACTAACCAAGTTGTGAATAATTTGAACAAAAAAACCTTGGAAATTTTTACACAATAATTCGGAGACACCTCATTTTTGTTTCCGTGCTGTTACCAGGTATAAAGAAAAGTTTTAATAAAAATCAAAACAGCTGCAAATAATTCACCAGAATTCTAATTTACATCAAACAAAATGAAAAAGCCGCCACTTACTGCCGCCAGAATCAGACATTATAAGAGAGTTGACAAGCGCGCCATTAGCAAGCGAGCTAAATTAGGCACCGTTAAACTATAAATAGTAAGAAAAATCAAACAGAGACCCCTTACCTACGATAACATAAAATTCTTTAAAAAAAACCAAGGAAATATGTTTCGTTATTTTTCTTTTAATAGTATTGTGCTTTACAACGTAAATAACTGCCACTTAATTATTCATTAATCATACGCTAGCGCCGACGGTGACAAAATGCCTAATGTTTTTATACACTGATATGAAATTGCCCTGACTTTAAATTTGCTTTCCGTACAGATTAAAGCCCAAAAAATTACATCTTCCTAATCGTTATTTGATTGCAAAGTAGCATTAATAAATGTTGACCGAATGAGTACTTTATAAGTAAGGGGCTTGCAAGCAAAAAATTACACTCCCTTTTCTTCCATCCGAGTTTGCAAAAGCTACATTTTTGCCTTACGCCGCGTTATTATACATTTTAAAAAAAATATTCACATCGTCTGTCAATATAATGAAGTTTGCCATATTAGACGATTGAACGGGATTGATTGAAGAAGCTAAAAGGGTTTTTAATCGCCATTAAGGGCAATTTGTTTATATCCGTCA